AATTTATGTTCAAAGTATCTAAAAAGTTGTTACCTGAGCACATACAGAGCACGTTTTCTGAAAGAGAAGGGGGGTCACTCAAACTTCAAGATCCGCAATTTTAGAACAACAAGAAAAAGCTTCTGTATTTCAATTAAAGGTGTAAAGTTATGGAACAAGTTACATGAAGATTTAAAACAAAGCAATAGTTTAACACAATTCAAAAGAAAGTACAAAGAGGTAATTTTCAATAGATACACATACGGGTGACAGAAAGCAATAAGGTGTATTGCAGATAACTTGGTGTAAGAGTTTAGAAAGACAAACCAGCATAAAATGGGAAAATGTATAGGTAAATATTAGTAACTTACTTCTGACTGCCACTTTGATTTCGATTTGTTTAATGACAGTAGGACTCTAAAGTTTCAAGTGTTTAGGGGGTAGGAGTTTATAAGTTCTCACTTCTTCCTACCCCATTTTGAGCATATGTTAACTGAAACAAAAAAATCTGTATTTTCTCTTCTTTCTTATGCACTTCTTGTTACTGTGCACTATTTTATATTTGTATTTGTATCATGTTCGAATAAAATTTCATTTCATTTCATTATTTAAGCTGGGAAATAAGCTAAATTGTACTTTTTTATATCATTCCATTTAAATGGTTGTATAGCAGTTGTCAGGTTGAAGATTCAAGTTACATACAGTCCAATTATAATACATAACATTCAGATTCAGCTATAAAATGCCAGAGGGTAAAAACAGTAGTAGGTTCCAGCATGTCATGGTTAAAATAATCTGATAAATTCCACTGGGTAACATACTGGATTTTAAACAGAAATGTGAACTTCTCCTAGGCCCTGTTCAGCATGGAGGAATCAGAGAAACTGTATCAAATCATGATCACTTGTCAAAACAAGCTGCAGCTTCATTAGCCCGTCTGAATCTAAGTGGCGAGCTGCTGCCCAGAGGCGCTCTGTGCTGTAACCAAGAGACGCTTTAAAGTCAGAGTTTGCCTAAATGTGCCACGGATTGATCTGCCTGAGGGGACGGTCATTAGTCTGTCAGTGAACTGTGGACGTCCTGCGATCCGACACTGATTCTGCCACTTTTTAGCTCGCTTAACTTTTTCTCTGTGTTACAACCCCACCCTAAAATCCCTAAAGTAAATTCTGGCACTGGGCTTTAACATAAAACTAAAAAGTAATCCAAACAGTTGAGTAACAAAAGTATAATTTATTTTACAATCCAGATAAAAACAACTACTACAGGAGAAAAGAAAACACAGGGGAGCTTAAGACTTCAGGGTCTCCAAGGCCAAAATAATAAACAAAACACCCCCTTATAACTATAAAATAAAACAACCACTTGCTAAAGGAGAACTAAAGGAAAATACAAAACCTAAACTCCCTTACTAACAAAAAACAGGAGAAAACAGGTTATAACAAAAATGGCAGAGAACCCCTACCAGCTTCCACCTCTGGATAATTGTACAAAGTTGCTCACAGCAAACTTAAGACAGTTCACACACACAGCTCTCAAGCAGAGTCACAGCTCATGGCCCAGGTCAAACAAAAGGAGAGGCTCTGGCATCTCCAGCTTGCTGCTTATATATGGCGGCTGACGAGCCCCAACACACTTCACCTGCAGCAATCAGGCAGAGCTGAAACAGAAAACACAGAGCTCTCTCAAAAAAAGAGAGCCCCTAGAGGTCAGTGACCGTAACACTCTGCTGCTGATTGGCTTCGGGCAGGTTCACAGCAAAGCTCAAATCAAGGGACCACTGAGAAGGTTTCACTACAATATGAAGAACCATCAGAATAGTACTATGTTGAATCAGGGCTGTGGTAGATGGATCAAAATCATGAGTACATTTCCTCCAAAAAACTGCAAAATTTTGAGAGTAAGATAAGAAATTTTCTAAAGACACAAGGTCAACATTTTTTTGAAACTCAGACCTTTCCATGTTTCTTTCTCAAAAATTTCTGAGATTAATCAGAAAATTTCTGCGTTTTTCAAGCAGATTTTCCTCATTCCAAACTCAGAAATTTCTGCGTTTTTTTCTAGACAATTTCTGAGATGAATCTAAAAATGTGAGTTTTTTTTGGTGGAGGTGTACTATTCTTTTTTTTCTTTTTCCTAGCTACAATGGCTCCAACAAGCCATTGTAGCTAGGAAAGGAGGTGTGGAGCTTTAAAATAGCTTTTCTGTCTGCACAATCCAAAAGTTGTATTGCATTTCAGAGTTATTTTTTCGTCATAACCTGGACATTTTGTGGTTTTAAAGCAACAGAACAGAGTCATTTCTTACCCTACAGCGTTCTAAATTCTCCAGGTTTGTGGAGACCTTTGAGTAAAACTGTGTTCCTTCGTCCTTCATTGTCCCTCGTTAACTCCGTCCCTCAGACGGAGTTAACGAGAAAGCTGTCCTCTGCCCACAGCGCTGATGCACGCTGTGGTGTTTGGTAACGTGACCGCCATCATCCAGAGGATGTACTCCCGCCGCTCGCTGTACCACACCCGCACCAAGGACCTGAAGGACTTCATCAGGGTGCACCGGCTGCCCAAAGCCTTGGAACAACGCATGCTGGAGTGTTTCCAGACCACCTGGTCGGTTAACAACGGGATAGACGTCAATGAGGTACATTTAACACCTGGCACGCTACTCTGCTCACACTAAAGGAAACGTATATGTCACTAGCTGCATTTCCGTTACAGATGTGCAAAAAATGTCCAAATTCTGCTGACGTCAAAAAAACTAAATTTTGCAATTGTAGTGTTTACTTTAAATAAGAAACACAATTAAAATCACACAAATATGTTTGTTGGCGCAGTAAGTCATTAAAAAGCATGCGGCACCATCATCCTCCCACCACTTCCTGTCGTCATCTTCGTAGTTTCTGCCAGTAGTAACATCCGGTTGTTGATCATGTGACTCTTGTGATGTAAAAAACATGTTTCCATTGCAGTTTTGTGAAGTACATATATTTCGATACGGTTGAAAAACCACCTCATCCTAGCGTAAAAAATGTTTTACTAAAAAACTTGAGATTTTTCAAAACTGCCTTGTTTCCATTAAGCAAATTTATTTCTGTAATTCCAATTTGAGCAGTTTTATGGTCAATGGAAACTCAGTGAGTGTTTTTGGATCATAGCAACATCTCTGAGATGTTTCAGTAAAAATAGTACCAAAAACCCTTTACATAAACCTTTTCAGCAGACGTCCACAATATGTCAAATCACAATCATTGCGATATCCATGTGTGCCTTTTTCAAATTCAAGTTAAAAAATACTTTATTGGTCCCAGAGGAAAAGCAAGTGTTGTTGAAGCTGATATTAATTCAAATTCTTCAAAGAAATATGATGATTTGCAATCATCAAGGCCTGCTTCAAAGTACAGTGGATCCATGAGATTCACAGGGGCTGGTGACCACAACCACATGTGAAAAGCTAAAATCAGCAAGTACTCGAGATACTCTATAAAAGACTTAAATTGTCTATTTTAATAGTTCAAACACCAAGTATATGGAAAACGTCTTAGCAGTGGAGAAGACGGTAATGTTTGAAAGACTCAAAGCAAAACTCCAGACATGTTTTTGATGGGGGAATGACACTATAACATGGTGTAAAGCTAAAAAAAGTTGATTTTACATAATACATGTAGCCCTTTAAGACAAGCACTCACCAAACTGTTAGGGGGAATCAAAGCACCCAACTTCCATCTACAAATTAGCCAAATATTATCAGAAATTATTCCTTTAATTACCTCATCAGTTCCATTCAGTTCACTTTATTGTTATTGCAGCTAGTTATATTGAAAGTCATCACAGGGTACATAAATCGCAACAGCCCAAAGCAGAAGTAACTGCATGTAATTTGAATTAGTTTAATTCATCCCGTTCAAATAAGTCATAACTCTGTATGTTCTGGTAATTAGGTTGGCCCAGGGAGATAAAACACCAAACCACTGAGGGAAATCTTTCCAAAAATGTGTGACCAACCCCAGCTTTAAGCTCTCATGCTTTGTGGGATAAGAGTTGGACCTAAAAAAAAGGGGGATGGGGAAAGGTGAAACAAAACCCACACAGAGGCTGAAGTAGAGCTCAAGCAAGTAACAAACCAAAGGGAAAAACAATAACTCCAAATAAAGGGGCACTATTACGTGTTTTCCATAAATCAAATTTGACTCAAAAGATATTTGACTTCTTAATTTAACGCCTTGAAATTGGGCCTCTGTCTCTTTAAGAAGCCTCTGCTCTTTCTGACACTCCACCTTCAGGAATTCATCACAACATGGTTCCTATATTAACCCTTTAACAATGTTTTTACCAGTGTTTCACTGAGAAATAGCTCCTCTAGTGAACTCAGCAGATGCGCTGTTCCACCAGGTGTTTGCTAAATGCTAACTGCTAGTCTGAAGGAGCAGGGGGAGGTGCTCTGTAATCCGGAAACTTGGAAACTGCAGCTCCAAAGAGGAGCAGGCCGCCACCAAGCATGAAGACCGGGGAAAGTTTCATAAGTCAAGGACAAAGTCATGCTGAATTAGAGATCACGACAGGGCCATTGACCAAAACCCACAGACTCAGCAGGAAAGGCATTAATCAGAAAAGCAACAAAGATAACTCCACTGGTAGCTGCTCTGTGCAGATAGGAGGATGAGTCTACTGGCGCTCTGTGAGCTTTACCTGGGCCAGAGCTGGGCACTAAGGCCAGAAAATAGCTGCTGCTTTTAGAAATAATAAGGTAGGACATCTGAAATGTATCCAAATTTATATTGGATACTGCTTAAGTCTGTGGTTGAAGAAGCTAAAATCGAATATATACCTTTTTACGTAGAAATACTTTCTCTTAACACACCAGTTCTATTTAGACGCAGTGAGTGTTTTGGGATCTTAGCGTCTGAGATTTTTCAGTAAAAATAGTCCCAAAAACCCTTTCAGCATAATGTGTCAATTAATCATTGGAATAATTGATTAATCGTTTATTGCAGTCCTTTTCATTTTTAAGGTTCTTTTTCAATTCTTCATTTATTACTGCCTTTTCTGTGTTTTCTCCTGTCTTAATATTAAAGAAGTTTCTCTAACTGAGTTTTTTTTTTTTTAGCTAACTGAGCTAGCTCAGTTTTTAGACAGTGCAGCTGTTCAGTGTGAACTGCTCTGCCTTCCCAGCTGCTGAAGGACTTCCCAGACGAGCTGCGGGCCGACATCGCCATGCACCTGAACAAGGAGTTGCTGCAGCTGCCACTGTTCGAGTCGGCCAGCAGGGGATGCCTCCGCTCTCTCTCCCTCATCATCAAGACCTCCTTCTGCGCCCCGGGGGAGTTCCTCATCCGGCAGGGTGACGCCCTGCAGGCCATCTACTTCGTCTGCTCAGGGTCCATGGAGGTGCTGAAGGACAACACTGTGCTGGCTATACTGGGTGAGTCTGTGAAAAGGGTTACCGCTAGATTCTTTCACATATGTGCATAAAAGTTCGGAAAGCACATTTGTTCTTCAGCAATTTAACTGTGCAGTAAAGATTCATTGATTTCAGAGATTTTTGCTCCAGAGTTTCCAACAACGAGGCAGAAAATACACAGAAACAAGGCTGAGTGGACTGTGTGCACTATAAAAACACAAAATCTCACCGAGTATTAAATAAGTATAAAATATTTTCCCTATAGAAAAATGCATCCTAACGTTAAACACACAACAAACAAACAAAAAAATCCTTTGTTGGGACATGATGACACTCAAGATGGTAGAAAATCATTCAGTTGCATTGGCCCAGGTGAGGACACTGTTCTTTATTCAAAGAATAACTAATATTTCCTGTTCATTTAAGGACTGATCCAATGAGGTCCATCAGTGTGTGTTGGTGCAGTGATGGTGGTTAGACTAATTTTACAACACCTAGTTCGGTTTCATCCAAGCAGAGCAGCCCCGACTGCTCTAATGAACATTAGGTGATGAAGGAGTGAGGAGGAGGAGGGTCTTTGTGTAAGCTAACAGGGAGGGCAGGGCTAAAAGCAAGCTGCTAAAGAGCTGCAGTTTGCTCTCTGCTGCTTAAAGGCGTTATCACCCAGGTGGAGCCACACAAAGAGTTGCTGCTTGGTGATTATCCTCCAGGAATCCTGTTAGATTCAGCGGAAGACGGTGCAAAGGGTGATATCGCACCTCCTAGATGATTTTTAAAAAATGGAGGTATTATCGCCTCCCTTTATAGTCTTTTTATAGTGCAACACTTTACCGTCTCTCTGCTAAAGGACCCTCATCTGTCCGGTGTTGATGTTACATACTACTTCAATGAGTTTTTAAAACAATTTTAAATGTGTTGTGTTTTTTTTTTTTTGTTTGTTTATTCAGTAAGGATCAGAATTTCACTGACTTCTTCACTAATATCTGGACAAACAGTCGTTAGCGATCTGCAGAGGAGCCATCATCATGACTCTGGCTTTATTCTGAATAGATAGTTGACCACTTTTCTTTCTCTTCAGAAGTTGCATAGCTCGTTTTAAATTGGTTGGTTTCTGTTACCGGGAGTTGGACTTACCAGTTTTAGTTGCATAGCAGCAGATTTTCAAGAGGAGAATTCAACCTTCTTTACATGATTAGACGTAAAATAAAACAATAAACAAGCAAAAAATAAATAAATACACTGCAGTGATTGGAAAACAAAGACAAGTTTAGAAACAGACCACAGTTTAACACGTTGTACCTGTTTGTACCGATGCATCACATATGATATATCAGTGTTGAATCCAATGTATACATCTCTAATAATTATTTTTATTTCTGGTGACAGTGGTCATTTTGTATGTGAACTTCTGCTTTCAACTGAGTATGCATCCATATCTTGTACAGTTCTTTCTTTAAGTGACCCTGCACGTTTCTTTTAATCACGCTGTATTTAATAACCGTACAGCATCATTCCTCTTATCATGAACTTAGATGCAAAGAATTAACCAAAGTGAAACCTGCTGAGAAAAGGGCTGAGATTCTGGTTCACGTTTAATATTCAATTTAAAACAATGCTTTAAGGATGGAAATGTTCCTCTAACTTTTAATTTAATTTACACCTGATTAAATTCTGTTTTTATTATGAGAAAAAAATTCCAAGTTAGCCAGTTCGCTATCAGTAAGGTGTCTGAAAATAAAGATTATGGAGGCAGAACAAGTGTAAGACTTCTTTAGAACATCAATATATTGAAAACTTTTAATTGTAATAGAGATATAATAACATCATAGAAGCTAGAAGTGGCTAAAATCAATCTGGGCAGGTCAGAGCTTCATAGAAACTGGAGATCAGAAATCTGTAACTACTGCATCTCTACTTAATTATTTTAAAAAAGTAATTAATATTTAATAGCCAACATTTGGTGTTGGATGTAAAATCGACAGTAATATTGTCTCACTGAAAATAATCCAATTGGAGGGGTTATGTTGAGCCGAACTATTGCTGCTGCCAAAACAAGCATTTCTTTTGCTCTCACAGGTGGAAATCTAATTTAGTTGGGATGTGACTCAAAACCTTTGTAAGGCTAATCCAGGAAGCAGCTTCCCTCATCCAGCGCCGTGTGGATGAGGAGCAAACAGAAACAACAGATCAGGGAGGAGCTGAAAGGCCTTCTTATGCATTCATGGCAGGAGCAGATGTACATGTTTATACAAAGGTCAACGTGGATTGGATTAATGATGAGGGCTTGTATTTCTGTGTGTGTGTGTGTGTGTGTGTGTGTGTGTGTGTGTGTGTATATATACTTGTATATACTATAGACCACAAATGGAGGTCCTTTGTGGAAGTGAGGACCTTTTCCCAGTCTTTTTTGCAGTTCACTAGTTATGTTTAGAGGTTCAGTGTGAGTAAAGTTTTGGTTCAGGTTAGGGTTAGGAATAGACTAGTGTTGCTTAGGTTTTGGGAAAGAGTTGGTGTTAGGCAAAAATACAGTTAATAAAATGAATGGAAGTGAGTATGAAGACCTCAGTTTAAAGATGCACTATGAACGTTTTCTAAAAAAAAATTTTTTCACATATCTGTTGAAACTGTCTGTATGGCGTGACAATATGGTATGAAACAGATAATCTGTAAAAAAAAAAAAAAGCTGCTAGACTAGCTCCTAATGCTACATTAGCAGAAACTGTTGTGAATGCTAATGCTAGTTAGCATGGCCGTCAGCGATGGTGGATAAATGGTTTTTCTGCAACAGTAAATTTCTTCTGTTTCTATTAGCAAATTTAGCAGCGAGTACATGAGATTGATTGACAGCAATAAGTCCCTCCTTCTGGCCCTGATTGGTTGTTTTTGATCAGGAGCAGCGAGTTTCTTCAGATGGCAATAGCAGCTCCAGGAGGAGTCTTTTCACTGATTGTGTGTCTCACATTTTACTGTCACAAGATACCAGAAGTTTTAACACAAATGTAAAAAAACAACAAAAAAAAACAACTTATTTTTTATAAAAGTTTCACGCTGGAACTTTAACCAAAGTACTGTGATGTGCGTGTGTGTGTAATTATAAAGTAAATGAGATTTTCCTTGAAACACCAGGCCCCTCAGCCTGTATTTGATCTGGATCATGACACACACGCATCAACAGGCAGTGTGTGCTGCGGTGCAGCTGTTAATAATAAATAGATGTTGCATTATTGAAACAGCATCATTATTATGAGAGAACAGCAGAGCCCAGGAATCCATTGGCCTTCTCGGCCCAGTGGACATGCTGTTCTTCCAGGAAGGATCCACTTTCCTCGTTGGTAACCAGAACCTGATGGTGCTGTCCTTCCTCCAGCCATGCATGTCTGAATGTTTCAGCGCCACGACTCAAGCGACTTAACAAGTGGTCCAACATTTTTATTTCTGCTGTTAAGTATCAATAAGTCATCAGGGACACATGTCCAGCAGTTAGAGGTGATCATTTTTCCTGCTGGTTGGTTATGGTCTATGAAAGAGAGAAAACCAAAGTCAGTGAAATGAACCAATTAAAATCTGGAAGCTTAGCACGCCCAACTATCTCTGGCCATATTGACGCTTTTCATTTTTTTTAATATGCTGTAACGTGAGTTAAAGTAGAAAATCCCCTCGACTGTCTGCCACACTTGCAACAAGACTTGGTAGCAGCAACCGCCTAGCATTTTAGTTTCCACTAGAAGGCTGCTGCAGCTAGAAGGCTGCTGCAGCTAGAAGGCTGCTGCAGCTAGAAGGCTGCTGCAGCTAGAAGGCTGCTGCAGCTAGAGGCTGCTGCAGCTAGAAGGCTGCTGCAGCTAGAAGCTGCTGCACAAAGGAGACCATTTCTGACGGGATATTTAATTTGACGCATTTGTTTAGCCTAGAACAGAATTACCACTCTGAGTTTTGTCTACCATTGCTGGTTTGAAAAGAACCGTATACACTGCAAAAACAAAATCTTAGCAGGTAATTTTGGTCTTGTTTCTAGTGCAAATGTCTTAACACCCTTGAAATAAGACAAAACTAACTTACAAGTAGCTTTTCAACTTGTTTTTAGTAAATGAAAAACATTTAATGTTGATTTTAAGAGAATGCACTAGAATCCATTGGCAGATTATTTCACTTACAAATAGGGAGGAATATTTTGTTAAACTAAAACATATCTGCCAGTGGAACTGGAACTTTTTTATTCAATAACTTGCTGAAAATATACTAGTACGCTAGTTAATCGGTTGAGCTCTACATATTATCATTCACAGCTGCTGCAGTTGTCTGTTATTACCTGTAATGTAACTTTTATCTAAAATTTTATGTAATCTTATTGTGAGCTGATTGTAGCCATTTAGATCTGTTTGGTTGTTTATTTTGAACGTCTTTTTTAGTGGGAACTTGAGTCTGAGATAAAGTTTCTGTCCATCTTGTTCTATTTCAAATGTTATAAGATATTTTCTCTATAAAAAATATTTTTAAAAATTCTAAGATTTTATGTTTGTCACAAAGATGCTTGTCCTGGGGGGGTTGAATAAGAACGGGACAGCAGAAGCACTCAATGTATTTGTGTTGTTTTTGTTGTTGTTGTTTTTTTTTTTATTAATTTGATGAATTGGGGGCGCTGTGGAACCGCGAACTAAGATGGCAGCTTAAAGTGGATGCTCCGTGAGACCTGCACCAAAACTTTGAAAAACCCAGGATTAGAAACGTAATCTGGACCCGAAAATGTCAAAATCGACCACTCTTAAGGACTGTGATATTTTCACACGAAAACGCGGCTCCCAAAAATCAGCTAAAACTGATACTTCGGTAGCAGATCAAGACAAAGAGGGGGCCGCTAGCATTGATAGCATGTGTGACCTTAGCACGGTGCTAGCTGAACTTCGGTCGTTGCATTCAGAGTTCGGTGGATTTGGAAACAAATTGGACAACATAGATAACCGTATGGGAGAAATGACGAAGTCCATCGCCTCTTTGGAGAAAAATATAACAGAGGTGAAGCAAAA